GCGAGTGAAACCTTGAAAGCTCGCGAGATCAGGATGGTCTCACGAGGCTAGCAAAACTCTGAGAGGTAGAGAAGTGCAGATGGCGAAGTCTGAGCTGTCTGGATGGTTGAATGCAGATCGTACTTAACTTTAGATCAAACTTTGAGCCATAAGGGACATTTCAGACAATCCAGTTATTCAGGGGAAAGAGAGCTTTGTCTGGGGAAACAAAGATTTTCTATGTTAAATCTACAGAGAGTCAACGATTTTCCAGGAAGCTGCATCTAATATTGAGTTTCTTGAGAGTAAGGGTAGGCGATACGGCCTTAACACCTTATTACAATATTTTGTGGTACTATTATCATAATGAAAAAAATTGAAGAAACTCTACATTAATTCTTTGAAGTCATTCTCAGGTAACTTTATAGCTGTGAATCCATGCCTGAGCAATCAATTTAATGCAATTCAAATACGTTTAATTCAAAAATGCTTATTTATTAATCCCAAAGAGAAATGAAATGTTCCAGAAACTCTGGAGCAGTTTTTGAACAAACAAACAGAGGATCTAAAGTTCTCTCCAAAAAGAACCCTAGAATCATGCTAAGCAGAGCTATTCCAATGTCCTGCCACCTTAAGCAGCGCTGTTCTAGAATATATAGCTCACAATCACAAGCACTACTCTTAAAAAATTACACACATTTAAACTATGCTTCATCAAGACCACTTTTACATAAAGAAGGGAGATTTATATTACTAAACATCCCATAGTAAATGCATTTAATCATATTCTTTGACAATACTAATGCCCCAATGGAGAAAAATAAAAGAAAAAAATAAAATTTACCCGTTTGAGTTTTTCATCATCACTAATTCTAAATTATTCTTTAGATGATTATTTAAGTGATGTTTTAAAACTTATTAGCTTACGGTCTGGAAACATCCTGGTCCAACTTATGCTCAATATTCCATCCAAGTAAATGTTTATCTTATGGCTGTGAGACGCAACAGTTTAGGGATCTAAAGTTGACAGGAACTGGTGCTTTATGAAGTAAACTGAAGTGACCTTTCCTCAGAGCAACAAGAGTTTTTAACCAAACAAATTTCATTAAACTGCTGTGAAATATAAAAAATGTTAAAGCATGATATTCAGTGATTAACCCTGTTTGATGCCAGAGAGTGTTTTACATTTTGGGCTTCTCTTACTTTCTTCTCCCAGATGGAAAATATTTCTGTTTTGTGATGAACATTAAAATGTTTGCAGCTTGTTTTAAGAAAAGAAAAAAGACCTGCAGTAAACCGGTCATAAAATTTGGTTGTATGATATAATCGATACATTGCAGTATTTAAGATTTAATGGCGACTTTCATCTCTGCAGCTCGTTCGACTCGAAACGTGACGAAAAATTCTCCAGACGAAGATGTCTCTGAAGATGACGACAGCTTCATTAACGACGACAGCGACGACCTCGGCAACGACTCGGACTACCTGCCTCCTCGCTCAGACGACAGCGAGCAGGAGGACGTCCAGAGACTGCAGAAGGAGGCCAAGGTCTTCCTGAAGAAAGGAGGGAGGTAGAGGGAGGAAGAACAGCTGGTGTTTCAGCCAGTTTAAAGGGACAGTAGGGGAAGACAAGTCCTCGATTCACTGAAAATAAAGACTGAGCTGCTTTCAGAATCAAACCAGGTCCCATGATCCAGTCTGTCTAATCTTTGCCTCCATGATTCATGATTCATTGATTGTTCACTGATCTAATGATAGTAGGAAAAACATTAAATGAATCAAATGCAAAGAGGATAGAAATGTTTCACATTCCTGGATTTATTTACACCAAACATGACAAAAAGATTTGAAGCCTTGCACCAGCAGAAAAACACAAAAATGTTTTTTTTATTTAACAGGGTTCAGATCCGTAAAAAGTCTTAGAAGGCATTGAATGCTAAATATAAATCTAAGGCCTTATTGGTATTAAAAAATCTTAAATCAGTCTTTCATAGTTCTTAACATTTGTAAGATTTTATTATTGCAGTCCATATGAAATGTTAAAATAATTGACAATAATTTCTTTTATATTTACCAAACGGCTCGCTGTAACCATTATTGGTTCCATCCCGATAGCGGAACCAATAAAAACAATGCTGCGGCGGGTTTAGGTACCAGATCAGCTCGGATCCTGCACATGCCAGTGATGTTTAGCCAGTCTCATCTAGCCTTTATTATTCAGCACTTTGGTCTCTGATCTTTTTTTTTTTTTTTCTTTAAATAAATTAACTTCAAATCTAAATAAAAATTTCTTTTTCTAAGAAATAAACCTATGATGATGAACCTCTCAAACTAATTCTGTGAATTATTGTGAATTGGTCTGGATCTGAGACCCACTCTATAATATATTATATTACTTTTATTGAATCTGTGTAAATATTACACACTGTAGCTTAAATTAATTAATTAATATGTTTATATATATATAAATATATTTTAGATTGATTTCCTTTTTATTTACCCTTTTAGGACAAATACAAACACTCGCTGATGTTTCCATTGACCCATCAAATTGTTGCTAATGTCCATTCCAGTAGAAATGCATCTCTGCTCCTCATTTTTCACATTTTTGTTCAAATTACTATTTAAAAAAAAGCATTATTTTTTTCTAACTGTAATTAAACAAAATTCACTCTACAGTCACACCACGAGCCCAACACAAAACACACAAGCTGATTTTGGTAGCCTGATAAACCAGATTAAATGTGAGATTAAATGTGTAATTTAATCTGGCCCCGATGAATTAGGCATCGGAAGATTGTTGATGAGAACAACACGTTTTTTAAACCATGTCTGTGCCTGTTGGCCAACGCTCTGACCAATGAGAGCAGCTGACAGGAAGCTGGTGGGGGAGTGTAAACAAACAGCCTGTCGGTAAAATGGCGAATACGTCCTTCTTAAAAATGACTGAGTGTAGAGCCTCTTCCTCCACATGTGTAAACGAAAACCCAAAGTCTAATCCTTCCTAAACTGATTCCAAAGCTGAGTCAAACGAGAACTGTTCAATAGTTGTTGCCATCTTACTTGTTTTGATTTCTCCAGCGTCGCGCAGCTTTGTCGTCACGCCCTCAAAACCCCGCCCACTTTGCATCGAAAGATTCAAAACACATCTCTGCGTTGTGATTGGCCCGCCAGTTCTAGGGCCTGGGGCATTGATCAAGGCTAGACCAAACTCACAGGCAAAAATGATTTTGGCCACTGACATCTGGGGCTAGTTTTCTAGGCTCTGATTTTGGTACTCTCGACATGCTTTGAGCAAAGACATCACAGGTGGTCTAATGTGTACAATGGCTGATGCAGTCCAAGACGGTCTTGGCTTTATTTGCTTTGAGTGGGGAAAAAGGTAGTTTTAAGATTGTTGAAGAAAATACACCTAAAAAGGTTTTCTTATATGTAGTTGTTCAGAGCAGCAGAGCTCCACATACAGCAGGGCACTGGGAATCCCCGTTGATTAAGGGGATTCCAGGGGATTTCCTGCTGCCTTTTTTAGCCTGAAATTGAATCTAAGCTTTTTTCTTTTTTTTAATGGTAATAATTGTACCAGTATGGTTAAAACGTACCAGACTATGAAATTAAACATTTTTCAACAGAAAGTTTTGACATTTGAATTTAATAATCATGAACTGTTTACACCAGGTTCGGTGGTATAGGAACTGTTCTTAGTCACTGGTTCTTCCGGAGGTCCCTCATCTTCTGCTTTTATTTCTTTGTATTAGTCGTTGGATGGTAGGATCTGTTCCTGGTGATGAGCCTCAGTCTTTAAAGAGTCATCAAGCTTGATCCTCAGCCGAGGTCCCTCCAGGATCTCAGTCACCCGCAGCGAGGAGGTCTGTGCCTCCCCTTCATCCAGGGACCTTCTGGCTGTAAAAGCGATCAGCTTCAGAGGAAACATTCTCACCACCTTCAGGGGCTTTCTGTTGCTCCTGACACTTATGAAGCAGAGGGTGTTAATGACCCCGTTGCTCATGGCGATGCACTCGATGATGTAGAACGCCACCAGGGAGTTCCTGCTCCTGGAGATGATTGTTGGATAAAAGTCCCGCAACAGGGCAAAACCGTAGTATGGCGCCCAGCACAGGACGTAGGCCACCAGCACCAGAATCAACACCACCACGGTCCTGCGACGTCTGCTCAGCCTCTTCCGGATCTGCTCCGTCTGGAAACCTGGAATGTCCTTGAACCACAACTCCCTGGAGATCTGAGCGTAGCAGATGGTCATGACTGTTACAGGGCCTACGAATTCTAGAGCAAAGATGAGGAGGAAGTAGGAGCGGTAGTAGGCCTGCTGGTCCACGGGCCAGATCTGAGCACAGAACGTCTTGTGGGCGTGACCTTCGATGTGGGGGTAGGTGGTCTCTGAGGCCATGTAGGCTGATGGGATGGAGATGAAGATGGGGACGATCCAGATGGTGAGAACCACGCAGTAGGCCGTCTGGTGCTGCATTCTAGGCTTCAGAGGGTAGAGGATAGCCAGGTACCTGAAAAACACACCCCAGACTCGTGGATTAAGGTTCGAGCTTTATTTTTGAAAAACAAAGAGTTTATAGACTTTGTCATGGGAACAATGACATGGATTACTTTGTCATATGGGTAGTAAACATTTTAACATTTTATGATTGTTTCACAGTATATGATAAACAACAAACTGATTTACATTTTATGGAAAATGTTCTGTACCTCACTGACAATTAGACTTAGAGTTAGACAACTTTTATAGTCATTTTGTATAAACAGTGTGCATACAAAACGACATTTCATTTTGTACAGCTTTCATGTCATTTCAATTTCTTAAAGTGCAGCAGTGACTAAATCATCATCATTGTGAACATTGTGGTCCTCATTCTGTCCTGTTTTTAATTTTCTTTTTTTGGAGTGACTATGACCTGGATGACTGAGAATCTTCCCCCAAGGACATTCTTTTGAAGACCGGAATGTCCACATTTTGGAAAAAGAAAGTAGGTGGTTTGAGAGGGGTATGAAGGAAGCCATGTATGTTAAGAAAGAAAAAACAACATTAAACAAAAGGTGGTGGACTAGCTTTCAAACACCTACAATGCAGCTATTGAGTTAATCCCTTGCCGCTATCATTGCAGCCCCAGCCCCTGTACAGGAGAGCCGAGGACCTCTCGTATTCAGCCAGGTCAATAATTCCCTTCATCGGCCGCAGTCAGATAGTTGAAGAGGGTGAAAATGAAGCATGCTTTTAAGGCCCATGCAGCACATTGCCTAGAATACAGTTTAACACATGTTTTCTTAATTAATTAAAAAACGTCTTTTTTTGGAGTGTGCTCCTGCTGGGGAGGGCTGTTTTAGCCTCATGAGACCATCCTGATATCGCGAGCTTTCAAGGTTTCACTCGCAGATCAGTCTGG